TGGGACACTGTGTGACAATCTCACTTCCTCCCATAGCACTGGTCACACCTATGCCCCTGCCCCCCATCATCCCCTGTGTTTTGTCCTGGTGGGCGCTCAGAGCTGGGCTATTCAGACTATTTACGACAGTCTCTGATAATCATGGGGTGGTGACCCTGAGACCTCCTGTCTGCAGGGCTCATGATGGTCTCAACATAAGAGTGTGTGTTATAACTGTGCCTCCTGGGCAGCCATGCCCTCTACGCTGCCTGGTGACCCTGGAGGATGGAGGGATCAACACATGGCCTCAGAGCAGGATCCCCTGAAAGCCTGGAGCTCAGTGTAGCTCGGGATCTTCCCGGGCCAGGCCGACGGTGTTTGCCAGGGTGGCCCTCACAGGATTGTGTCCTTTCAGCAGAATAGAAGAGCAGGCAGGCCAGGGCCAGCACACTGGGTGAGGCTGAAAGGGACAGGGTGCTGTGTGGCTTCTCACGTTTCCTGTGACTCTATCCTTGCACCTATAGGTCTCAGTTCCAAGCCCCAAAGGTGGAGGAGGGTGGGGTTACAGCATAATGCTTCTGAGCAGGCAGAAGGGCCCAGAATGATCACCCTCAGGTTGGAAGAGGTCCCCCTCTGAAGTGGCCCAATGCTGCCCCATTCACAGCCTCCAATACTGTCCCGAAGGAGGCCCTGCCTTCTAGAAGGTTCTGCTGCCAGGCTGTTGTGTATCCTGTTTCAGACCCAGGTCAGCTAGGAGTATACCGACACTACACTCCTCTCACCTCTCTTGCTTTCCTTTTCCTGCTGGAGCAGGGATTTGTGGGGTGTGGGGGAGGGCTAAAACAAGGACAGGACAGGTAACAGCAGCAATGGAGGCCAGAGCCCCTGCCCCCACCCTGTCCGGTGGAGATTCGATAGCCCTGTCTCCTGCCCAGTGGAGATCCGATAGCTGCCTCTCCTGTAGCAGCATCTGGGTTGGCAGAAAGGACACAGACTCCCACGCTCATTGTTTAACTGTGAAGCTTGGTGAAACCGTGAGGGTTATTTTTACCTCCCAGCATGTGGGTAGAGAGGGATGCTCTGAGCCAGCTCTGGCCTCACAGAAAGTGGTGAGCACTCTGAGGAGCACTCCTCCTCAGAGGAGAAGGAGGAGGAGGCAAAGGTCTGTTTAGACTGGAGCAGGCTGTGGCAGGCCACAGAGCCAGCCCCCGCACAAAGAGCGCGGTCTCCTCAGGATGGATGGTGTGCTAGGCTCTTTGAAGTCTCACCAGACAGCTTCTTTGCAAAGATGCTTTTATATTACTGAGCTGGGACCCAGAACCTCACATGCTACCTACCCACACACTCTGCCACTTAGCTGAGCTCCCAGACCTCTCTTTCTGAGACAGTGTCCCCCTAAGCTGCCCAGGCTAGCCCGGAACCACTATGTAGCTCAGACAGATCTCAAAGGTTTGTTCCTCCTGCCTCACCCTCCTGAGCAGCTGAGACCCCAGACACGGCACAAGGACAGTTTTGTGAAGAGATTGGAGCCTTCCGTTACCTCTAACCGGGGTGACTGCGGAGGATCTGAGCTACCCAGGGCTCCACTGGCCAGCAGCGAGAGTGCAAGTTTGGTGGGAAGAAACTCAGGCCTGCCATTTCTACCAGGAAAAGACAGGGCACTCAGGAGAAATCTTTGTTGCCGGCTTCTGCATGTTCTTAATTCTCACCTAGGAAGTGGGGGTTGTCCAGGTCTTTGTGCATGAAGAAACAGAGGCTTGTAGACCATCTCGGCCCAACCACAGTCACCACTGGGAAGTTGAGGGCTCCACGCATCTTGATAGGGAACGTGGCTTCCGTGGAGCGTGTGTGCAGGGACAGTGGGCTCTAGCATCTAAAGGGGAGGTCACAAGAATAACAGGAGTTTGTTGTTTTATAGTCTGAAGTCTGTGAGTCCAGATGGATCCCCACAGCTCATCTCAGAGATCAGGAGCCCCCGGTGTGGATCCCCTCTTCTGTCTCTCCCAGCTCCGAAAAGCAGCCGGCAATGCTTGGGTCCTGGACCCATCCTCTATTTTCAGAGTCACCCTTGTGGCACCTTCCTGTCTTGCCGACTCCTGTTCCCTCCCTTCACTTACAGAGCGTGTGTGATAACATCTAATCTGTAGCCCAACCCTCTCCAGATGCCTCTTTACCATGTAAAATAATCAAGTAAGGATTTCAGGGTTACCAGGTGGGTGTTGTGGGGTGCTCTGTCCTGCCAACAATGGTGGCCTTTGGTAGAGTCTGGGTTTGAAGATAATGGTCACCCACTCCTAAGTACAGTTCCTGGGGGAAACTGGTCAGGTTCATTCCAAAGGGGACTGTGGCCTCTATCAGGGAGTCACTAGCCTCTGGAGGCTGGTGACCCATCCAGGAGCAAGGGACTCCAGGTCTTGGCAGGTAGACAGGGCAAGGAGGGAGTGTGTGTGTCTGTGGGGTACTTGCAACCCAGCGTAGGACTTGCAATCCAGCAGCCCAGAGTTCAAATCTCACTTCTGCCTCCTCACAGCCCTCCAGCAGGGTGTAGATGGAGGTGTGGGTGGGGCTGCCTGAGCGGAAGCCAACAGATGCTTCCTGTGACCCCACTTCATCTGTCCCGCAGCCTCTGCAGTGTGGAAACAGCAGCTCAGAGAGGCCAAGTTCTGTTCTTGAGATAACACAGCAACTGAGAGGGGCTGGGCTTTCCCAGGGGCCTGAGATTTCAAGCTGGGTCGTAGCCGCCATGTCTACACACAGGCAAGACCTCCTTACTATTCCCTTTAAATCTACCAACTGCCTTTTAATTTAATGTGTCTGTTTTAAACTGGAGTTTTATAAACTCCCGTAAGGGGGAAATCACAGAATTCATGGGCTGGTTATCATGTATTTTTATAAGGCACATTAAAATAAATTTATCACTATAAAAGCAAAAAAAAGTCTGTCTGCAGATTGTATAAACGACGTCACACAGAGTAGGTTTGCTTATCTCTCTCCTTGGAATCGGCTCTGCACCTGGTTCTCCAGACCACAGTAATATTGCCATAGGCTATCCCTCATGATTTGTGCTCGTCACGAAAAGGTTCAAGCCATCAGATGTAGATCCCAGGGGGCTTGGGATCTCCCAGAACCGCTCAGTTCTGCTCCAGGCCTTCCCCCTGGCTCCTCTGCTGCGCTCCTTACCCAGCCGGAAGTTGTCAGGATTCGAACCCAGGCCACGAGTCCTTTTATGACAGGACTCAGCAAGGCTTTTGAAGAAGAAAGTGGCTTTCAAATGAAGGACTGAAGGGATGGCCAGGAGCGCGCGCGTGTGTGTATAGGGCAGGTGTTGACTCTGAGTGTCTTTCCCAATGGCTCTCCATATTAGTTTTGGAGGCAGATTATGTCACTGAACCCGGAGTTCACCCACCGGATTGCAGCCAGCAAGCCAAGCCAGCACATGTGTGCTGGAGACCCGAACTCAGGAACTCAGATCCTCAAGCTTGCTCTGCAAATACTTTATCGATTAAGTTATCTCCCCAGGGCTCAACCTGTCTGATTTTGTTGCCCTGACAGGACGACGTTTTCCAAGATGAGGATGTCTTGGGGTCTCCCAGAACTGCTCGGTTCTACTCCATTTATAATATAATATCTCCTGCGGTCAAAAATGATGAGCTGCTGCGGTGTCCAATCCAAACTCCACGATGTCACAGGAGGCGGGGCTTAGCGGCTCCTGCCCTGTTGTCCGCTTGGGGCTTCCCACAGCTCTGAAGCAGGGGTTTCTTGTCCCTTCCTTTATTGCAACGTGGGTAATTTATCCCCTGAGATGTCAGGGAAGAGTCTCATTACTAATTCCAATGTTTCCTAGGGAGTGAGGAGGAATGCACAACCCCAGTTTTCTGTTTCGGGAACCCCCCTCCCCCCCCAGAAAGCAGGTTTGGCTAGGGGTCTCTCAGATCACCTCCAGGGGATTACAGACTGCAAGAGAAAGAGCCCATTACAGGGCCTGGTCCATACTCATGCCTATGGCTCCCCATGGTGACAATTCTCGCCTCAGAGCCCAGAATGAAGAAGGGGTGGAGCTGTGTGAGAAGCCCAGCTTCAGGGAGGGCCTCTAGGGCGGCGGTTCTCAACTTTCCTGATGCTGCAACCCTTTAATAGTTCCTCATGGTGTGGTGACCCCCAGCCGTAAAATTGCTTTTGTTGCTACTTCATAACTGTAATTTTGCTGCTGTTATGAGTTGTAACGTAAATATCTGATATCCAGGATATCTGATATATGACTCCCATGAAAGGGTCGTTGACCCCTGAACAGGTTTTGATACACAGGTTGAGAGTTACTGCTCTAGAGTCAGTTGGCCTCTGTTCCAGTCCCCATTCCTTTTGAGACTAACTGGGTGATTGCGGGTGAGGAATGGCCTCATCCTGTGCCTCAGTTTTTCCATCTGTAAAATGGGGATAAGAATAACACCTCCTCCTGGGAAGTGGTAGCACATCATGCTTTTAATCCTAGTATTTGGTAGGGAGAGGCAAGCAGATCTCTATAAGTTCGAGGCCAGCCTGCTCTACAGTGTGAGTTCTATGTCCCTCCAAACCAAACCAAACCAAACCAAACCAAAACAAAATAACGGCCCCTCCCCGGAAAAGCCCAGGTGAGGAGCAGAGCGGCTAAGCCTCATAGGGTCTCGAAGGAGCAGTTTATTGATAGCTGCTGTGTTTACAACCAAGCAGATCTGGGTTTGAATCCTTCCATTAGAACTACTGTTTGATTTGGGACAGATTTCCATATCTGATTCTTTTTCTAGAAAAGGGTTTCTAAGGGTGGTTGGCGTTCAGCATCCAGGAAGCAGAGTGCATATAAATGTGTAGCCCAGCCCCGGTGTCGGTGACGCATTGGAGCCCCTGGGAGTGGTGGACTCCCCAGTTGGGCTCCTTGATGTTGACTGTGATCCCCCCACCTCTCTCCCCTGCAGCTGCTACACCCTAGACTTACAGACCTGGCCCCTACTGTCTGAGGGAAGGCGGAAGTGAGGCGGGCAGCCTGTGGCTTCCTCTTTTGGTCCTGCTGTGGGCCCAACACTCCTTACTCAGAGCCTTGGAAGAGGGGACTGCGCACCATGGCCTCCCGTGCAGCGCCAGTCAGGCAGACATGCTGCTGTTTCAACGTCCGAGTTGCCACCATAGCCCTGGCCGTCTACCATATAGTGAGTATTGGGGTGTCTGAGGCATTCAGGGTGTGTGTGTGTGTGTGTGTGTGTGTGTGTGTGTGTGCGCACGCGCATGAGGACACACTGAGACCTTCCAACTGGGGGATTGCTACCTATCACTTGTCTGTGGGACCCTGGACAAGCCCTGTGCTACCCTGGGCCTCAGTATTTCCCTGTGGAGATGAGCAGAATAGTGTCCTTAAGGTTGTAGGTATGCAAAGAGAAAGGCAGGCTGGCAACGGGGAGGAGTGCAGGCTGGGATTGCTCTGGGATGCCAGGCCCCACACAGGCCTGGGTGTAGGGCTTTCTGGGCCCTATCCTAGTCTAGGGTCTGGAGTTACACCTTTGGACTTCTAGTGGGAGCTAGGGAACCCTTCTCCTCAGCTCACAGCCCAGTCAAGCCGCTGCCTTCTCCATTCAAGGACAGTTTAAGCTTTGTGCTTGGGAAACTGCTTGGGGCAGCCAGCATGTCCCAGTGGTTGTCAATGTCACGGTGTGACCCCAGGTCCAGTGTTAGTCCCCAGGGATATGGCTCTCCCTTTGGAGTGGCCCAAAGCTGGAGTCTCTGTCCTCTTCTTCTGGGATTTACCCCTCACTCCACCCCTGGCACACTTAGGTCCCTGAGGCCCAAACATTTTGTGGCTTCAGTGACTCAGACAGAACCTGTGGCTAACAGCTCTCCTGGGCCTGGAAGAGCTTCCTCAAAATCAACCTAAATCCGTAGGCTGCTGCTTTGCAGAGCCTGGTGACATCTGCTTCCGGCCACAGGCAGTGTGGCCAGGCAGTGGTACAAACCAGTTCTGTCCTTAAGCTCTTGTTGTGCTTCCCTGCCCACTCCCCCTCCCCTCCTCCCAGCCTTTGCTGTGCAGTCTCGGATAACTTGTTTAACCTCTCTGAACCTGTTTCTTTAGATCAAAAACAAAGATGAGGATGATAAGGACTGTGTGTTAGGTGCTGTGCGGGTTGATATCTATAAAGCATGAGGGACGTGTGCAGACATGGTCCCCTGCCTTTTCATGAGTGTGTCCTGACCCACCTGTCCACCGAGAGCAGGGGTTCTCAGCCTTCCTAACGCTGTGACCCTTTAATACGGTTCCTCATGTTCCTCATGTGACCCCCCAACCATGACATTATTTTTGTTGCTACTTCATAACTGTAATTTTACTACTGCTATGAATCATAATGTAAATGTATTTTTAGAGAGAGAGATTTGCCAAAAGGGTCGTGACCCACAGGTTGAGAACCGCTGATTTAGGGCCTGGCGTGGGGGCGGTTCAGAGTTTGTCCAACACAGCCTCAGCAGGCACAGGAGCTGAGAGGGGTGGCAGCACTCTGTCTTGGCATCAAGACTTTCAGATTGTCATCTCTGAGATGGCACAGCGTTCTGGGGAGGACGTGACAAGCGTCCTTATGCCAGCTCTGCTGGAGCCAGCTGTTTGAGCTCCTGGGAAAACCCCCGACTTGGGGCTTGCTTCCCTATCTAAAGTGGGGACCAGGGGCCGTGGATGGGAGTTTTGAACTCAGATGTTTGCAGTGTGCTGGGAGCTGGGGGGTGGTGGAGGGTGGGGGGTCCACTAAGTGGCTTCAGTGGGGTGGAGGGGCTTGCGGCTGCTGGGACCCTTGCTCCATCTGCTCTGGAGGCTCTGCTCCTGCCTTTCAGAGAAGCTCTTTCTGTCTGATTGTCTGGCTTCTTAGAATATCGTAAATATATTGAAAAGTAAATAAACCCTGCAGGCTGTATCGTGGAACTACTGAGGTTTCTTCTTATTCATTGGGTCCAAGCACCTCAGCTGTGGATGCATGAATGATGTCCTGTTTCCGTAGAGATCCAGGAGACTGTGGGTCAAGTGATCAGGGAAGGCGTGTCACAGGTGGGGATGCTGTAGTGTGGGAGGGAGAGTGTGGATGCAGAGCTGGTGGGCCGAGCGAGGTGAGGTGTGTCTGGTTCCGGAGCCCGTCTGAGACAGCTGGGGAGGAGGAAGTGACTTTGTGTAAAGTTGAGCCTTTGAGCCTTTCCTCTGGTGCTCCAATATTATTTGGGGCTGGGGCTGGGTCATTCTTTGCATTGTATAAGCAGGTCACCTCTTAGCCACTGTTCAAGTCCCTAGACGTGGGCCATGATTGTGCAGTCTGCATAATCACTGCTTGGTATGTGAGTCTTCCAGAGCCGTGGAATGCTCTAGAGCCACAGGGTGGGGGTATACAAGAGTAGAGAAGCCTGGAAGTAAGGTACCCATCCCAAGGACTGGGTTAGGGTACACAGATGATCTTCCTACCCCATTGGCCAGAGGCGCTTTTTCCTTCCCACAGGAAAAGGTCTGGGGGGGGGCTTTCCTTTGACGCAGCAGCTGGGTGGCAGGTGTGCCAATAGGACCTCAGACATCTGGGTAGAAAAAGAGAAGCCACCACCAGATGTACCAGTCACTCATGTTGCCGTCATCTGGAGCCAGCCATGGGTGACATCTCTGTACGTTGAGAGCTATTTGTGCACTTGGTCCCTGTGGGGAGGATTAAATTGGGCCATTGACGCCCGAGATGGGGCCACGCTTCGTGGAACTGTAGGGTTCAATTACAGGAAGATTCTACCTGGCTAACAGGTTTGTGCTCTGATGCTCCAGGCTCCTGGCTTGTCTTGGGCACAGGGGAATGAGAACAGGGTCTCCAGCTGGCCTTTTGCCTTCTTCCTTGTGTTCTAAGTTGGTGGCAGGAAATTAAGAAGGGCGAGGGGACACTGACAGACCTTTTAGTAGAGAAATCCCTGAGCTCTCTCCTGCTGTGTTCCTGTGTCTATTCCTGATATTAGGGTGAGTGTGGGTGTGGGGCTGGTACCTGCAGCGACCAGAGAAACCTACGCAGACTCTGGCTGTGGAAGGGACGAACTAATACCAGAGAGAGTGGGGTTCGTGTGATGAACAGGCGGTCATTAGCTGGGGACTGTGAAAGGTCTATTTTCCCCTGGATTTTCCATATTTGCCTTCTTTTCGTTCATTTCTTTGAGACCAGGACTTGCTACGCAGCCCAAGCTGGCTTAGAACTCACTTTCCTGCTTCAGCCTCTCCAGGGCTGTGTTCACAGGTGTGCACCGCCACCCTATTCATGGGATATTTCTCCCCCATCTCTTCCTCCTCTTCCTTTACTGTGACATGAGGAAGGGTGGGCCCAGGGCCTCAGGGAAACCCACCGGCACACTCCAGCACTCTTTCTATTTTGACACACTGTCAGCGAAGTTGCTCAGGCTGGCCTGGAACTTGTGTGCATCCTGCTTCAGCCTTCAGAACCTCCGGATCACAGGCCTGCGCCACTAAGGCTCAGCATGCAGACTACTTTTTAAAGGAAACATTTTGTTTTTAGGACAGTTTCTGCAGATTCAGTGCAGAGAGCTCCCCGAGTGTCCCTCTCCTGTCTCAGGTCAGTGGAACACCCGGGATAACTGTCTGTCAGGACCTACAGACTACTTTCTCTTTCTGTCCTCATCCTTTTTCTGCTTCAGAGTCTGGGGCCTGTCACACCAGATGCCATCCTTCTTGGGTTCCCCTGGGCAGCAGTGCGCTCTCAGGTCTCCAGGTTTGAGGACTGGGATGGCTCTGAGGAGTTCTGCTGGGGATTTGGTGGAGTGTGCCTCACCGAGGTGTGCCTGGTGGCCTGTCACAATGAGTATGGCTCCTTTGCATGACAATCAGGATGCTTAAGGCATCGCTTAGAAGGTGGCCAACTGTCAACCACCTTATGGGCATCTTCTCTGCTAAGTTTTCTTTCCCCTCTTTCCCTTCCGCAGCAGGAGGGTGACCCTTCGCCCAGCTCATGTGAGTCATGGAACTGGAAATGAGGTTCCTTTTCTGGAGGGTAGACTAGACAAAGTGCTATCCTCATGGGACAGCTGTCTATCCCCACATTCCGTGTAAGGGGCTTATTGGTGTATTAGCCAGCAACTCACAGATATACATCATGTGTGGTTTAAAGCCAGGCAGCTCTGTCATGCTGATGGAACACTGCTTTGTACACAGAAAACCAGATGGTGGCTTTCTGTGTAAAAAGTGTACAAATTGTACAGACAGGCAGGGAAGGGGCAACGGGACTCCTAGGCCCTGGCTGGGGTAGCCTGCCTGTCTGAGAGAGGCCCCTCTCCTTTCTCAGCTCTCTGGGATTCATTTCTCTTGGGATCTTCAAGGAAGCTTCTTCCAGGAAGTCCTTCTGACATGCTTGCCTCAGAACTCCAGTTCTCCTCCTTTAACTTCACGTTGTAAGCAGTGATTGGATATATGTCACTCACTGGGGACATGACCCTGAACACACAAGTGTCGCTGCTGACTGAGCCTCAAGTTTTCCAACCATTAATGGAGGCCAATGATCTCTGTGCCAAGAGTGATTATTCTGACGTTCTGAGCTTGGTAGTCCTTGGCATCTTGGGGGGTTAGCTGGCCATGTGACCAACCAACCACAGAAGTCAGTCCCCTTTGGAAAGTTCAAGTGCTCAACAGGGATCTAAAAATCAGCCCCATCGGTCCCTTGGGAAGGTCTCAACTAAGGCCTGACAACCTGGCACCTTCTTCTCTAATACCCTGGGCTGGTCAGAGGCAGGATTCTGCCACCTCCTGTGTGCCCTTCCTGCTGTGGGGAGGCCAGCAGGTTTAGGCCAGGGTCCCTGTCCCTCCTCAGTACCATTTAGGGTATCTTGCTTGAGGGTTCCCCTGCTGTGAGAGAGGCAGGACCAGGGAGGCAGACACTTCTATGCTAGGGGGAGAAGCTGCACTGAGTTAGGGCTGGTTTATGCCAGGCCAAGGCTTCTCTGCCAGGACTGAGGCACAGAAACCCAAGAGGCAAGGCCTTTGTTCTCAGCCCAGAGCAGTGGTCCAGTACAAGGGGTTAGTTCTCAGCCTGAGTCTCCTAGGAAACCCATCTGTCTTAGGCGGGGGCTCAGAACTCCAGGACAGCACCCTGGATACGTGGTTGTAATCCTATCCTCAGAACAGAGCCTCCGGTTCCTTCTGTTGCCTGGG